TTCTTTGCTTCTTATCTTCTAACCGCTGCTGCTCCTTCTTCCTCTCTCTTGCTTCTCTTTTGAGCTTTCTTGCCTTCTTCCTTCTTCTTTTCTCATTGTCATTGAGAGCTCTTTCGGCATCGGTAGCCTCAAGATGTGGTAGCGTGGTGTTGCTTGCTGTTGATGCGCTCAACTCGCTGTTGTCGGTGTCGACATTCACCGGCTTCACGCCACTAGTTCCTTCTCTGGGCTCCATACCTCACGCGGTGAAAGGCACACGAGATAACCTACTCTGATACCACTTATAGGATCTCTGGTTAGCCTAGAGGGGGGTGAATAGGCCTTTCAAAACAAACACTCAAACTTTCATCAAATTTAACCTACGACACCGCCGCTCTGACCTCACGGCACTGCCAGACAACGGCACTGCTGGGCCAGAACAGCGGCACTGCGGCACCTGTAGACAACTTCGAGTCACAGTTCAAAATTAGTGAATGTAAACTAGAATCAGAGAAATTTCTTAGCTTCCTACAGGTATGAGATTCACAGATCAAGAGCTAGAAGTGATAGGAACACAACACACAAGTAGATCGACCACAAACCCTAGAAATCACCTCAACAACAATATGAAATGCAAATGATGTAAATCAAGCATAATGTGACACGATGATTTAACCCGTGGTTTAGCTCACCACCAAGGCTTGCCTACGTCCATGTTGTTGAGGTTAGCCACTAAGGTTTAGGGCTTTGCAACCCTTTCTTGTTCTTAAGTTAAGAGACTCAACTCTTGAGATGAGAGGTGAGTTTACTAGCTTCAAGAGGTGGTTACAAACCTCCCGGGGCTGCCACACAAGTTGGCAAGCTCCACGGGCGACGCTCGTTGGCTAGGAGCAAAGCTCCAAGAGTAATAAACACAACCGCCAGCCAAAATACGAACCAAGTGCTCTTTTGAGTTGGAGAATCAAAGGATCTACTCTCTAATTAAATTTGGAAACTTTTTTCTCTCAATGATTGATGGGAAAATCAAGAGAAAATTCTTGGGAGCTTAAGGTCACCAATGGAGGAGAGAGAGAAGAGCATTCTTCTGTTCTTGGATGAGCTGAATGAGTGAGAGAGAGAGAGAGAGAGACGTTGGGGAGGAAGGGGAAAAGTATAAGTACCCCCTAGCTCCAACGATCACTTAAGTCATAGCAGTGTTGTGTCTCAAGTGCGGCAGTCCCGCACTACGACAGTGCCTCTCTCCAGGTGTGGCACTGCCGCACCAAGCAAGACAGTAAGGGTAAGAGTGAAGTGTTGGTTGTCTTGGCTGAGTAATTGAGGATGTATGTGTAAGATTGAGCACTTGGTAGCACATATTAGCTTAAGCATTATGTTCTCCTTTATAATACGGCTTTTCTTATAGTCAAATTCAAAATATAAAAGAATTTAAACCTCCTTTAAGTTTGAAGCCATCAACATTTATAATTGGGGGCAACTTTGTTTCGTGTAACATCCTCGAATATAGATTCTCTGCTTATCATCTCGATAAATCTCTTTAGTTCTCTAATTGCGTGGTCATTATCACCAAAACCCACAATTAGGGCTTGATTGCACTTTCATTATGTATTCTAGCTCGTTGCATTTAGTGAATAATAACCCATGTGTTAAAATATGTGTGTGAATATTTCCTATAAAACTACATCATAGCATATATGAATGGGCCTCCACTTATAGTTGGAGATACATGAATTTGAATTATTTTAAGCCCATGATAGGGGATATCTTTTGAAGTATGCTATTAAAGATCTAAAATTAGCATTAGAGGGAGAGAAAGCCTATGTTGAATGCCAAATATTATTTTCATAGAAGGAAAATGGTCTTAAGAGAAAAATATTCCTTGAAGCTTGAAGCAGAAATAGTATCACGTACTAAATCAGACAATAGTTTGACTAATGCTCTTGTGAAGCATGAAGCGGAGCATATACCAGATATTTTTTAAAATGAGAGGAGTAACTTGAAGTTATAAACTAGAAGTTGTGTTTACTAGTAGTAAACTAAATATTGTATACTATCAAGCTAAAATCTACGAGGACGCTTGTGAATTCTAGTTTAGTGTGTACTTGTTGGATAGAAATAAAATGAAACTCCTCCATTCTCCTGAAGAGAACACCTCATGAAGAAGGTTAAGAACCTCATGAAGAGGATCATCATGAAGATGAAATCCAACACACTAAGCATGCGTATCATTACTGTTGGGATGCAGAACAATAAATTATTTCTTGTTTGGAAAATGACAAAGAGATAGAATAATCTCACATTGTGAGAATATTGGAAGAAAATAATAGTTGTCGACAACGCTACCTCTAAAATTGCAAATATTTCTCTTATGAGAATCCAGATCTGAAAACAAAGTCCATGGCAAAGTCGTCTATAGCGATTATATCGGGTCAATGAAGAAAGCAATTAAGGTTGAATCTCCTACTCAAAAGAAATAAATGTTCTGCTATATATCTCTGGCAAATGAAATGAATGAATATTAAATATGTAGTTAATAAGTGGATTATGAAGATCCATATAGTTCCTGAAGAATATAAATCGCAACATATGGAAATTAAATCTCATACAAAGTATTAAGAAGTCTAAGATATAATATATTCCTCAATGAATATTGAAGTCTCAAGAAGAGCATGTCCTAGAAGAAATAGTCATCGAATGACTTTATAGTGAATAACACTATCTCAGTGTGTATATCACATAATAATCCCTCATGTAGTAAAGATCTCATAAAAGAGAAATGTTATTCACTAAGAACGAGAACATCCTTGAAGGATTTAATCCATGAAGGGTTTACCAGTCGATTCTTAAAAAGCATCATTAATTTCTGAAGTAAATGTAGACCCGAGAAAAAAAAATGAGAAATCCTAAATACCATGAAGGTGTCATACAAACACTCAGAAAGTGCATATTGAAAGGCTAGCAATGAAGTGATGATATCCTCTAAATAGCATAGAAGGTATGAGAATATTGGTGATTTTGGCAATTGAATTATCCCCTAAATGCCAAATACAAGATTGGATTTATTATTTAGTGGTACAATCTAAATTTTGAAGATTTGTAGAACATATAATATGAAAATCCACTAAGGAAGAATTATAACTATTCAAACTTTAGCATGAGATTTGATGCACTATCTTGAATATATTTAATATTGTAACTTATTTACCCCTATAGTCCCCTAAAAGGATTTTATTACCCTAAAGGATAAATTTTATTTGTTTTGCACAACTAATAAGTGATTATTATGCACGAAGCATATTGCTCTTGTTTATACCCATATAATTCAATGAAGAATTATGAGCCAACTTTTTAAAAGATATAGTATTGTAGTATTGCATACCATTAATTAAGCACACATTTATGTAAAGTGTGATTTAAACAATGAAGTTCAAAATTTGGCTTTACGAGGGGGAGCATATTTTTATTGAATTTACCTTGAAGGTAAACCACTAGAATTACAAAGATCAAGTAGATCATATATTTGCTAAAACACTAAAGTTTATGCATAGATCACGAAGATCAATATCTATTCATAAAGAATAGAATATCCTGAAGAATACATGACCAAGAAGGTTAAATGTTGTACTCTTTTTCACTATGTGAGTTTTTACTTAAAGGTTTCTCACACAAGATTTTTAATGAGACAACATGTACAAAGCAATTAATGAATGCCATGTACTTTTTTTTCAAGAACCGTTTTTTCCCACTGGGTTTTTGGATGGAATTTTTAACGAGGCATGCGCATATCGTGGTAATCGTCTAAGGAGAAGTGTTGTAAAACATACGGAACTCTATCCTAGAAGAAAAGAAGAAGGAAGAATCATAATCCTAATCCGTTTATATGTGGGCTCTTACCAAACTCTTAGATATTGGCAGGACTATATATATGTGGGAGCTATATGTTGTAAATTACTAATATATTCAGAGAAATAAAGAATAGTCTCCCTATCTCTTATGTCTATGTGTTCTACTTTTATCTACTATGTTGATTATGAGAGACGGAGAGAAAATATCCTAACAGTTGGCAACATGTTTTATAACAGATTTAATTGGTTTTAGACAAATAAAATATTTAGCAACTTGCCGGTTATATTATTGTGTAGGAGTAACTCATGAAAGTTGTTCACACTTGTGTGTGTTTGTACTTTCTAACGATGATTGGTGAGCCCGCATCCATACCTTTTTCTTTAAAAAAAATGTCCATTTTACATCCATGAACAACCGTGGAACTAAAAAACCAGACATACTTACCTCTAAACTCTTAAAACTGTTCGAAACCTTTCTGTCCTAGTATGTAGCGGTTTTAAAGGTGGATTTGTCCTTTTACCTAAAAAATTAGTAAATACTTGAAAAGTTTTTTAGACCACAGAAGACGTCTATGAGTTTTTTTAAAGTCTTTTTTTTCTAATGTAATTCTTTATAGATATTTTAACAAATTAATAGGCATTTCTATGGGTTGAAAATTAATTTGAATGATTTTAAGAATTGAGGGTGTAAGATATCTAGTTTTAAAATTTGTGAAGAAAAATAAGACATAGTGATACTTCAGGGAGGAAGAATACAATTTTTTTTTTTTTGAAGCCTGAACATACTAGGTGTTGTGCAATAGTCAGCCTGTTCGGTTGGCAGGTTCGTTTAAAGTCTTGGTTTGTGAAGAAATCTTTGCTTTGGTTTGTGTGAAAGAAAAATCTTTATTCGATTTGAAAATTTACGATCGTTCTGACAATGGCATGCCAAACAAAACGAATGCGCTGAGTAAGCCCATATATTTCCACCCATCCAAATAGTAAGCCCATACAGCCACCTATGGGCTTAGTATTCGTTTGAGAGAGGTCTGGTGGTACACAATTCAGCCCAACTAAGGCCCAATAATGCTCAAAATTATGCCCGTAAAACACCTCTGTATTACACGCCATGAAATTTGCTATACTAGACTTGCAGCCAGTTGACACGACGGAAACAACCAAAAAAAAATAGCCCAGACAATGAGCTTGTCACTTCTCCAGGGCTACTCCTCCGCTGAGGAGGACGACGACCCCGCCGCCGGCACCGAGCTGAGCGAGTCCGGTGATTCGTCAGCTGAGGAAGCCGGATCGGACGGAGACGACGGGTCCGCTCCTCCAAAGCCGGCCCCCAAGCCCCGCCGCCGACCAAACCCTAAGGGGGGAGATGCCGGCGGCGGCGACGGGGACTCCTCGCTGCCCTCCGCGCTGGAGGCCTTTGCCGATGTCTCGGGACCACCGGAGTTTCTGAGGCACAGGGTTGCCGAGCCCGAGGAAGGGACGGAGGCCCTCGGTGTACTCGATCGCCGTGGGAGAGAGGGGAGCAAGCACCCGCCTCCAGGTAAGTCCATTTAAGGACTCGATTGAAGTGGAAATTGGAGACTAATGTTTTTTTATCGTTGGGGGTTAGTAGCGGTGTATGTTTATCAGACTTGCATCGACTAAATTCCATGGTACGCTCTCCCTGTTTATTTTGGTAAAGGTAGAGCCATGGAGGTCGATTAGATTGCTACCAATGTAGTTGCAGGTCTTGCATTGTTAGAGAATTGGCGTAGTTATTTTTACAGCAGTAACTGTAACGTATTAGATAACATTTCACAGACTCTGCATGAGATTTCAGTTCAGAATTCCCAAGACGGTGGAACTTAGAATAAGAATTAGGAAGAGGAGAATTTGATGTACTGTGTGTTATTCCTTTGCACATATAGTGATAGAGCTACCCTTTTAGCTATTATCTATTTGCTGAAATGTCAATACATGTTGGAAAAAAAGGCAATGATCTATCTTGGCCACAATGAAGCTCCACTATTGAAGATATTTGATCATAGAATTGCATTGCTAATTTGCTAAAGCATCAGTTTTGTGTTCATCTGTTTTCAACTGCATGGCATAAATCTTTGTACAATTTTTTTTGAAACGTGAAATCTTTGTACAGTCAGGTGGTACACTTCTAGAGTGGCTTTATTTTGAAAATAAAAATGCGTATTCTATTCTCTATACTTGTGTTGAGATAAAGTAGCATTAATTTATTATGTTTGTTTTGCTTTTGGAAAAAAGAAGACCCTGCTTATAAGAAAGCATATAAAGTTTTACAAACCACCGTACTCCTCTGCTGGTTACATCAGCTCTCAAGAAAATACGAGAAGCCGCTACTGCTACACATGAACTCCTCAGAAGAGAACCAACCAAACTACTAAAACACTAAAGCAAAAGCGTCCGCAGCGCATAACCTCCAAGGAAACAGAACATAACAAAAGATGCAATAATTATTGGTTCTGTTTGTTTGTTTCACCGTTGTGGTGGTTCTTTGATTCACAACTGCATTTGACCAAGTAAGCATGGTTCATGGTTGTTCAGAGGAAAAATAGTAGGCATCACGTAGTTGAATGATGAGAAACGTTGCATATCGATTCAATTTGTTTTTCAGCATGATATCTCCTATTGACTGTACATACTATTGTTTGATGATTGTTCTTAGGCTATTGTTACAACTTACAAGTTGTACTTATTTGTGCGCTATAATTATTGGGGCTAGTATTAACTTATCAAGCAATACCACGATACATTTCAGGATGATGCAATAATGACACATATACGGTCTTTGTGCTGTTACTAGTATAGAGATACTTAGTTGGCCTCACCAAGATAAGTAAATAGGATGTTACTTTTGGTGTCTATAGTTTTATGGTTTTACCTTTATTTTGAAACTTGGCGATTGGAAATATTTGTAAAAGCTGGTTTTCTCAAAACGTAATACACCAAAACATACATACATCATCCCATGTGCCTGTTAACTGTTCTGTTAACTCAATATTTCTGAGCTTGACGCTCAGATGATAGTAATGCAGGTTTGTTTTCTCAAAACACAATACACCAGAACATGCATACATCAATAATCATCCCATGTGTCTGTTAACTGTTCTGTTATGGGTTACCACCACAATATTTCTGAGCTTGGCACCGAGATAATAGTAGAGCAGGTTTCATCTTGCTTGTATATGATGATATTCTGAGTATGTGCTCATGCCAGTTATGGAATTTTAGATATATGCTACATCCTTTATGATATAACTGGAAAATAATCTTCAGGTGCTGTTGTGGTGGCAAAACCGCAGTTAGTTGCCATCCACGAGCGAGTTACCACAACCGGAGCCAACCCCCCAGGTCCAGTGACATCTGGTTCTGTTGATGGGAAAAGAATAATAGGTGCTGCAAATCCTGGGCCAGAAGATGCAGCTGATCTTCTGAGGTATGGTCAATTTTTTTATCAATGTCATAATGAAACAAGTATACCGAAATAGCTTGTGTACATGTTTTACATGAACTCTAATAATATCTATCAGAATTCCTTATGATACTATTAGTGGTCTTAACTGTGACTTTGCCTCATTGTTTAGGATGTGTCTCCAATGTGGTGTACCAAAGACCTATTCACATGGTAAGGGTATGGTTTGCCCTCAGTGTGGTGATAGACTGGTGCAGACAAAAGAGCCCGAAAAGAAGAAGGGTTCCACTGTCAAAGACAAGGAGAAGATCAAGAGGATGAGGGGTCAATCGTCGCATGCATCCTGGAAGAGTGAAACCGAGATGGCTCTTCGGCAACAATTCGATTGATAACTAGTTAGCGTGGCCAATATTTAGACTGAGTGCTGGGTAAACTGTACGCTGGGGAAACCTTTTTAGCCCCATATGATGCCCCTTGTGCCTCACACTAAGTTCCAGAGCGAGAGCCATCGTTGTGTTTGTTGTACGTGCTGCATTTTCCTGGTAGGAACGGTTTTGTTTGCTAAGCTGTTAAAATTGAATCTTAGATGTCAGATTACGAGTTACGGTTTTGTTTGCCATTGTATAAGTCAGTTACTAACTCAAAAGCCAATCTATTCAATAGTGCTAGCTCTTAGCAATGGCTCATAGCATGACACTTTCACGTAATCTTGTAATGTATGTATGAGCCTGTCTCTTGATAAAGAGCTAACTTTTCTCACTATTCTATTAAAATATATAAAAAAAATGCTAAGAGCCAGCTTATGAGCCATGCGGGTGTCCTAAGCTAGACCCTGCGGCGAGAGCCACTCAGGCACTGTGAAGTGTGAGGCTGTTGCTGCAGTTTGTGGAATGCAACTGGTCACTGGTTACTGCGTCCTTCGTCAGACTTGCTGGCGACCGCTCGCCCTGGCGGTCGTTTAGTCGTTGGTTTGGCTGCTCTGGTTGCTAGGTAGCGCGAGGTAATTATCTGTGTTTGATCTATTATTGGCAATCGATATTTTGGTTAAGGTCAAGAGAAGTTGAGATGGCTCACCACACTTGCCGCGATGTTAAGGACAGTCAAGTTGGGATGTTAAGGACAGGCAAGTTTGTAATGAGTGTTCACAAGTCACAAGAGAGCAACCAGAGGAGATAAACGCACCGTTAATATGCAGGTCGATCATGATTGCACTTGTAATACTTCCTCTGTCATAAAATATAAGCAATAAAAAATAAAAAATATCAAATTATATAGTATTTTAGGTAAATTAATCTTTGCATGCTCATTTATTAAGATCATATACGCCAATTGCACATGTATCTACCATTAATGTATACTAGTGGAAATGTACGTGCGACACGCACGTGTCTATATCATGTTTTCTCTTGCATTGCGGTGACATAATTTTTGTATTAGCGGTGACACATTTATGTGACATAAAAATCATCTTAACCATTTATTACTTGTTTTTCAAGCAAATTCTACAAACCCTTCACTGAAGCAATCTCAAGTAGGTTTTCTATGCTGTAGCCTTTATTTCAAATAACCATTAATTTGTTTTTGTTACTAAACAATGTTAAACCGTTCGAGTAGCCTAAACTGATGTAAAACATTGCCTCCATCTGACATGAGTTAAAAGGAGGTTTCAAACGAATTCCTTAGTTTCACCCACCTTCAAACCATGGTAAATCAACCAGTAGAAATCAGGTAAAAGTAACACACCGAATACAATAGGAATAGAAAACAATTAAAAAGGGGAAATCAATATATATATATATATATATATATATATATATATATATATATATATATATATATATATGTGTGTGTGTGTGTGTATGGTGCATTTTATATACTCCCGGAAGTAGTTACTCCCATAATCAATAAATCACGTTGCGTATGTGTATATACTCATTTATCAGTTTGAGTATGTTGACATATTAATATTAAAATACTCCAGATCTTTACTATGTGAATTTTTTTTCAAAAGAGCACATATTTTTTTAATATATTATAAATACTATGATAGTAGCATATAAAATAAGTATAACCATATACTCTAAGTATACATACATACTTGTCATACATAGTAGCCTAGATGGTCTAGTATGATGATATACTCCATCTATATACACTTCGTCGGGCCATATACGCCCTAAATCTAGAGATATACACATGGGAGTAGGAAATAATTTTCATATATATATATATATATATATATATATATATATATTTAAAATTAGAAATAAAATCACCATGGTTAAGGGGCTTGCAGTATTCTTTTTGGAATCTAAACGAAGACTGATCCTTCTACATGGTCGAGGGAAATTCCATATCCCCCTTTCTTTATGCAGTTTTTTATTATACCCGTTGACATAGCATTATAGACCGTATTGTTGCTCTTGCTACCATCAGGATAGATCTGTCCCCTTCCTCGGTTTCCCCTACATATATGGGATATTTTAAAAAATGAACGCCTTTTTTGTAGCGGGATCGGGGGAAAGAATGGGAAAGACAATTTCACTATATTTCTTACCAGTTTTTCTTGCAAAAGAATGAATAAATATTGGTTCCTCCTAGTTCCTATCACTTGACTATCACCTTAATAAAATTGCAAAAAAAAAACAGAATGAGGGCAATGCATTAACATAAGATAGGTGGAAGGGGCATATGTTGGCATTTCTATTTCGGTTGTGGATCGCCTTTTCAATGAAATATCAATTGTTTGTAGTCAATGTCATCTTTTTCTACCTCCTCCTCCTAACTGTCAACTGAAACAATTTCACACTTCAAACCAGAAATACCGTGACCCATGAGTTTTCAAAGGCATGAAGTTATACCGTTGCATCAATGGCACAACTCAGCAGAGCATGAGTTTTGAAATGCCTTGCTCTTACTGGATGTATAACCAGAGTGCACTTCCCAGCAATTGCTCTTACTGGATGTATAATCAAAGTGCACTTCCCACTTTTACAGTCTGCAATGTGCAAAAACAGCAACAGGCATGTACACAAAAATTCAGGCACTTGTACTCTTTAAATGTCAATAAATAGTTTAAATCCTAAACTAAAAATGGGTAAACAAGATCTTATGTGTAGGAAAGGAAAAAAAGGTAACAAATTATCAGTAGAACAGAGGCAGATAGAGCATGATAATGTTTTTCTTTTGTACATGGTAAACTTCTTAACGCTGTGCTGCCACCTGAATTTGCAAATCTCTGTTGTAAAGTTGAAAATAAAGCTACATGTGATGCACAAGATAACAGAAAAAAATGATGGATCTGAAACCATCGCTCACCCTAGATGCGAGCTGTCGCATCCTCTGATCCTGTTACAACGTGACCAAAAATAATTAGCCATGATCAGCGTTAGTTCATTTACCTTCTCAAGCATAGAGCACTGATATTAGCCAAGCTTATAATGCTAAAGACTCTAAAGCAGAACTGTATGCATGCATTCTACAAAACAATACACCTAATAGCCTGAATAAAGTGAACAAACAAGCAGTGAAGCCCTCAGATCACACCACAAGAACCTACACACGAGAAGAAAACTACATATTTCATTCTGAGGTAAAGTTAGTCACATTTACACAGAACTTTGAGAGGCATCCACAAAAACCACAAATCAACACCAAAGCGCACACTGGAAAAATAACCAGACAAGTAAATAAGCATAGAAGACAAACCTGTTTGTTCCCAATAGAACCATCAAAAAAGGAAGTAGAAATCTCCTGCAGCTAAGGTCACCAATGCCATATCACAGACACAGCACATCTATAACCGCAAAAAGCAATTCTGGGTCACAATCAAAAGACGGAGAAGCTTGAAGCTCGATCTAACGTGTAACAGAGGTACAGAGCCGCTTTGCCGCCTTACCGCGCCAAGATCTTTGGTTTCTCGGCGGCACAAGTCACCGGCCACCCAATGCGCGTCGCGCGGTCGAGCACTGAAAGCGAGAGCAGCCGGGAGGCGGCGGTATTTACCGCCTGGCGATGCGGGTTGAAGTGGCTGGGAAGGTGTCGAGCCGCTAGGAATTGGTCTGGGATCGCAACCTTGGAGGAGATGGGATCGCTGGATTGGGAAAGTGAGAAGGAAAGATTTCTGTGTTGGCTGATTGAGGGCTTGAGGGCTTTATGTCTTCAGGGCTTAACGATGGAAAGAGAGAGGCTTGGGTCATGACTCGGGAGGGGAGACGTGGGTACGGCGAGCGGGTATAGGAGAACTATTTGGTGAAAAAAATACGGCGAGGGAGGAGAACGGTAGGAACGCGCGTAAGACGTAAGATTACAGGTGGCTCACCATCAAATTAATATCTGCCATTAGATCTAATGACAAGAAATAATCCAACGGTTCTAACAGGAGGTGGGTATCAAAATTTGGGTGACATGTATTTTTCAATTTATTCGCTCTTTTATAGCATAGATTGTAAATCCAACCATCAGATAAAAAAATGTGGTAGGCCTAATATCTCTTCGCATTAAAGGAGAGTTACATATGTTATTTGCTTTATCTCATGATCTTTCTTAAATTTCTAAACTGCCTTATATTTCAGGATTAGGCAAGGGCATTGCGAATCATCAACACCCCCTCCTCGCCCTCCCCTAAAGATGGGACTTTGGTAAGTACTTTCTGAAAATGCAATCAAGTCTTAATTGTGGGTTTTGGTGATAATGAACACATAATTAGAGAACTAATAAGATTTATCGAGATGATAAGCAGGAAATTTATATTCGAGGATGTTACACGAAACGGAGGAGCCCCCAATTACAAATGTTGATGGCTTTGAACTCAAAGGATGTTTAAATTCTTTTATATTTTAAATTTGAGTATAAGAAAACCCGTACTATAAAGTGGGACACAATGCTTAAGCTAACATGTGCTACCAAGTGCTCAATCTTACATATACATCATCAGTTACTCAGCCAAGACAGCCAACACTTCACTCTTACCCTTGATGTCTTGCCTGGTGCGGCAGTGCCGCACCTAGAGAGAGTCACTGCCACGACTTAAGTGACCGTTCGGGCTGGGGATACCTATACTTTTCCCTTCCTTCTCAATGTCTCTCTTCTCTCTCACTCATTCAGCTCGTTCAAGAACAGAAGAGTGCTCTTCTCTCTCTCTTCATTGGTAACCTTAAGCTCACAAGCATTCTCTCTTGATTTTCCCATCAATCCTTGAGAGAAAAAGGTCACAAACTCCATTAGAGAGCAAATCATTTGATTCCCCCAACTCAAAAGAGGACTTGGTTCATATTTTGGCCGACGGTTGTATTTATTACTCTTGAAGCTTTGCTCCTAACCGGCTAGAGCGTCGTCGTGAAGCTTACCAACTTGTGTGGCAGCCCCATGAGATTTGTAACCACCTCTT